TATATGTTAATCGGGAATGTAAGCTATCATCATGCCAAATTTCAGCCCAATCCGTCCAGTGGTTTATGCGTGATTGAACTTCAAACACACAAACAAACACACAAACTTTCACATTTATAATATTAGTAAGATTACCAGATAGGATTTCAATTCTGGCCAATCTTATAAATACTATTATGCTCAATTCAAGTAATAGTTCTACGCACAAATGTTCAATTAATTATGGCAAGCTTAACCGTTGAATACTAACTATGAATGTATATTTCTGTGTATTTCTGTATTGTATTATCTGAACTTTTTGTATATTCTTTGTATGTAGCCATGTTGCATCATGCCTCCTATAAGTATTGGTATTTGCCGTTGGAATGAAATAAATAAATAAATAAATAAAATAAATGAACAATATCAACCAAATGATACAGTTGAATACAAAACTGTGCTGGAAAAAAGTGGATACTAAGGTGTGAGTGGCCACTCTGATGATAAGATAAGCATGACCATGACGTAATGTTGGACATACTCATCCATTAGCATTCAACAGACAGCCTGCCAATGAGTCATGCGGCTCGAGAGCTAATTGTCAAGTTTTGGGCCAAGTGGCCACTTGAGGTCTATTGATGGCTCACTATCTACACCTACGGAGCCGGAGTGAATAGCAAAGAAAGGTGAACCATAACGAGGCATTTCCTGAATTAATTTATATCAAATTTTTTAGGGTCCTAAAATAGCAGCTGCGGTTTTCTGAGCAAGAAGAGGGATGTGTGGATAATTTGTATTGTATGCAACTTAACGGTTAATAATGCATGAAAACACCAGCCCATACATTTCTTAAGAAAGATTCACTTCGAGAACATTGATAGCTTTGATCTCCTTTGTTGCCATTGTAAATCCTGACTGTAAAACAAGAGTTTAATAAGATACCGTATCTAAGACGTCGGCAACTTTTTGTCAAACACATCACTTCTTTTTTATAAGTATATTTTGTAATTAAAAATACAACCAATGTAAATATTGAGTTAAATATGGTAACTTGTTAAACTGGCCGCTTATGGTAAACTAATATAAAACTTCTTTAAACTTTGGGGGAATGTTTGGTGTTCTTTGCCAAATATTTTCGACTACTTACTGGCATGTTTCTTCTCTGAAGTCCTCAATTTTATACATTAACTGGCAATTGAAAAGTAACAATTTATAAAATACTCATTAGCGATACTTTTCAGAAAATTCAAGGCAGACTTTTTCCTTTTTACATATAAAAAAGTTGATCTACATACAAATGTAATGTGTTAGAGTGTTTAAAAGTCGAGGAAACATTTTTTATTTGAGGTTTTACAAATTATACGCTTTTTACTGATGCCACCCTTAAGAAAATTCCAAATTGGATTTGGACTCATTTTTACTGAACTACATAGTTTAGTATCGTAAGTGATCTGATCAATACAAAGACATCCTAAATGTCATATCAAGTCAAAAGAGGCGTGCTTCTTATTTAATGTTATCAAATCCACTTCATATCAATACTCTACTAGAATGTTGCTCTCGTACTGTTATTGAATTAACGTTCAAAAAATTTAACCACAACCCTGTTGCAGCAAACTTAAGACCAGGTGAATTTATAATTTTTTTATATCTGGATGCATCTTAAGTTACTAATGTTGGCTCAGTGAATTGAGTAGTATGACTAACACAAATTACAAAAGACGGCACTAAAATAATTAAATTTTCCAAATTTGAAGAAGTATTTGCACAAACAGATTTGGATCATGGGCTCCTTATATCGAAAAGGTACATATTTTACTATTAAAAACCACCAAAACCTACCATTAGATTTTACAATTAATAACACAAAAATTTGTCAAAAGTACAGTGGTTCAAGTTATATGTGTAGGACCACGAAGTAAACGAAATTAGTTAGTAAAATGTGTAACAAAGTTGTTAAATATCTTTAGAGAGTATGATTTTACTGTAAATTACAACAATATCGCCCACTGACCTTTTTTTAAATCTTTTGTTTAGAAAACACCTGCATTAAATTTTCTTTTAAAATGCATCATCTATACACCGACTGTATTCTACATTACAGGTAAAGGCATGAGATAATTTAAAGCACGTTTGGATCATTAATGCAGTACATTGTAGAGTAAGAGGGTGCTTGGTTTTCACTTAAAAACCCTGTTGGTAAAATCGAAACACGAAAAATTACAGTTTTTAATTGCCTCGAAATTGCGGTCTCCTCTTACTACAGTACAGTACATCCACAATGTGAAGCTACAAATAGTCATATTGCAGATAAACTATTCGGGTTGCCCTTCATATTTCTTTTCCAACACGAACCAAAGCAAATTTATAAACCCCACAATAACACTAACCCAAGATAGAGGAAAGAAAGAAGAGTATGAAGCCACACGCGACAGTAGAGGGAACATAAATCTTACAAGATAGCAAAACAGATGATAAAACTAAACGAAGCCATTCGGAAAATAGCGTCATAGATGCGGAAATATTATTTATGGAAACTACACTCGCGATGTTGTATGTAAAAGGTGACCTGTGTGCGTATACATATAATTTATGTTGGCTCAGAATCGTCTAACACCTTTAACTAAAATAATTAATCTGCCTTAAACTGTACATATTGTAAATTACACTACCGTAAAGTGAAAGTGTACAGGTCGTAAATTATATTACAGTAAATTGTAGAGACCGTAAATTATATTACCGTAAAGTGTACAGACCGTAAATTACATTACCGTTTTGGATACATGCCGGAAATTACATTACAGTAAATTGTACAGACCGTAAATAATATTACCGTTAATTTTACAGACAGTAAATTACATTACAGTAAATTGTACAGACCGTAAATTACATTACCGTTAAGTTTACAGACAGTAAATTGCAATACAGTAAAGTGTAAAGGGCATACAATACATTACAGTAAAGGAAAGTGTACAGACCGCGAATTACATTTTAGTAAAAGTTTACGTACCGTAAATTACATTACCGTTAAGTGTACTATCGTAAATTACAGTAAGGGTAAATACCGTAAATAAAAGCAGATTTATTATCCTAATATGCAATCTGAAGCCTACGTAAAAAATTGGTTTCAGGAAAATATCAATAACAATAATCTCTGTGAAACTCCTTGAACTATTAAAAACCTGAGAAAGCTGGTACATTTAATAACGTGTACTTCAACATTCACATGTATAACACACATACATGTACACATAAGGCTGAGATTGAAAATACCTCGTCCTGTTTTACTGGGAAAAAATTCTAATTAGGTTTCGCCATGTAAATATTCTAGAACAAATCTGTTTGTGGAACAATTAAATTTCAAGACAGTTTCAAGGTGGGTTAGTCTAAAAGTTAATTCACAAGAAGTTCTCTGCAAAACTTAAAACTGGTAAAATGAAAACTGACAAGTATTTATTTATAGTAAAATGGATCGTACAACAATAGTTCATCTGTTGCTTTTTTGTTGGAGAGTCGAGATTTGAGGAAGTGTGAAGTATGAAAAGCGAGTCACGAGACGATAACTAGGCCATGGATAAATATAGGATAACACCTGTTGACTGATAAACAAAGTCAGCTGATTGAAGTCAGCTGATTTTAAAGTCAGGTGATTGTTGAACTGCATTTTTTTCTTGGAAGAGTCGATGATGGGTTATTTTTATAATTCCTATTTGAATATAACCATTTGAATATACTGTACATGTATTTATTTAGTTAGTTGAAAGAAGCTTGTCACCCAATTGTTGGCAAACGAGATGATCTTGTGGTAGAGCGTGGAGTTTCAGTAACCGAGGTCCCAGGCTCAAATCCGTAAATCACATCTCATATTTTTAGCTAAGACCCTTATAGATCAAGAACCTTATAGGCTTATGCTGATGTAACGTGTAGAACTGTTCCGATCTAGAGCCTACAGTCCTAAGCTGTAAAGGGCGACCGAAAATAACCGGATGTTTTAAAAATAAGCATAACTTTTTTAATTACGTTACAATGCTCGTGAACTATTGCAGCTTGAGAAACACACTATTTACTAAAAATAGTTGGCTACGGTTGTCAGATGCCCTTTACGCATAGAAAACAATGTCTCAGTCACGTGGAGTTCACTTTCATTCATACAAGTTTCAATAATTTTCTTAACTCTTCTGTTACACATCACGACATTATCCGGTCACTGTTGATTGTTGCCGCCTCCCTGTTTATTGTCGTCATTTAAGTTCCACCAGGGTTCAGGGTTTGTGAGTGTAGACTCGACATTGAAAACGCCCAACAGAATAAATTCAGACTCGCTCAAATCTGGCGACCTTGCGGCAACAGAATATCACAGAAATGTGAAATAAATGCTATAAACCTTCCAATGAACTTAATAATACACACCACGGCTATTGAATTCTGAATAGTGTGCGTGGTGGATCTTGTTGAAAATAAACATATGTAATTTTTATCATACATCGTTGTTCTCGCCTGAGACCTCAACAAAGTGTTGGAGCATATCACTTACGAGTCAAAGCTTTCTAAACAGTTTCAATATTCTAAAGCGTTCTTTTTCAGCCAAACGGCTTCTTTTTCGGATACATCCCATCTTCCTCAAGTTGTTAAATCACCTGAGGATTGTATTTTGCCTGGAAACTCTATCATGGCGACGACTTCTAAGATGAAAGGGCACTATAAAAATCGCTGCCTTGATAATCTCGTCGTTTTGCAAATACTCATCACAGGCAATACGGTGTTTACTGTCCAATACTCCATGGCTAAAATTGTATGATATAATTATGGCACGCATCCTATTCGTTTAAAAAACGTCCAGATCCTGTCGGTCCTGTTGGTCATATGTGAGACAAAAAAATGAAAATCTAATGTCAAATCGACTGTAACGTTAAGAAAGACTCTGTCTAACCTGTAATAAAGTATGTAAAATATAGATGTATTACATTTTGTTACTTAATCGAAAATTATCAAATAGCTGTATGTTTTGTCAGATAACCTACCTTTGAGAGGTATGAGTTGATCCAATTTACAAAAGTCTTCTTTTGAACACGCTCTTGTTCATCTGAAACAATTAAAACCAATAGAAGTTTAAGCAGACAACAGGCAGTATTTCAAATTTTAATAAATAAGTTATATCCAAACTATACAAACACATTACAATCGTAATCCGTCTCACAAAAACGCATAGCAGAGTGTACCTATTACTTAGACTTATTAGAACTTACGCGTACACATGACTGCGACTTAACGATGTCACTATAGTGAAACGTCACTTTAATACGATGGAGCTATAAGGGGTGTTGGGGTGTATATAATATCAAACCAACGCTCTCATATTCCATAGTAGCCCTGAACTCTCTTTCAGCACAGAATACAGAGTGGTCTTTAATATGTGCTTTCAACTATTTTTTTCACGTTTCGGGAGAAATAGCGGATTTGATATATTTAGTTAAACGTCAACATTCCAAAACAACAGTATAATTAATAATCGAGAACTAAAATATTTTGGTAAACTCATTTGACCTTGATCATAAATAGTTTTTGTTTATCTTCAATCCCTCACTATAAATCACACGGAGTTGGCATTTGGCATAAATACATTATAAGCAATTTATGTATCGGATCCAAAGCTGTTTAATGATAACCTCAACCTCCGCACGGATCATTGATGATTAATGACTTCCTTCAACACTTCTCGTCTATTAATGACCATTACGCGATATTAAATGTGATAAACAGTTGAACAAACCGCTGACATGACCGTTATAGGTTAAGAACATGTAAAATGAATCTTCCAAATTATGAAATACTAGATTATGCCATTAACATGGGGGTGATGAGAATTGAAGATGTCAAAAGTCAAATAGATACAATAACGGTTACAATTTTCTACTACTTATATTAAACAATTTTTGGTCTGTATCACTGTATATAGTAAGGTTGTTGCATTCTTTCGTCGTCCTGATTTACATGAAAGGATGTCACATATAAACAAAATACAACACAATGAAGCCGAGTAAGACATTTTGAAATGCTTATAAGAAGTGTGAACACTATTTCTATGCCTATGGCAAGTTAAGGTTTTAGGGGAAAGGTAGAAACCTAGGCCTTGTACTATTCAATCTAACGCCGATAGACAAAATGCATTTAGATCCAAAATCGTCTACACTCGGGATTGAATCAGTAACCTGCAGATTTGAAGAATTAATGATATTTTGTCCAAGTCATCAGTTACAATGGTTTTGGGTGAAATGGCTACCTAAAAGGTTAAAAGGCAAAAAGAGCTGTCATTAAGGCGTTAAATTGCAATACGCCAGTCGAGTCGTGGAGTTTCCATATCTGTACTCTATATCTGTCTTGCGATGCCCGATTTGTCGGTAACCACAGTTTCGTGGGTCCATTCACAGAGCGTGTCGGGTAAAAATAGCAGCGGGAAAGTGGAATTGAGACCTTGAAACTGGAGGTCGTAGCCACTGTCTGGCTGCGTCTGTGTGTTTCTGTGTGCGTGTCTGTCTGTATCTATACCAATGTGTCTGTTTTGTTCTGAGTGTGCGTGGGCATCGGTGTGTTACTCTTGCAGATATATTCCTCTCCTAGTGTTTGCCCATTTTACATTTTCAAAAATTCATTAATCACAGAGGTTGATGATTTGAGTGTGACTATGACACTAAAACATTTTATATCTTTGCCATAGTTTTGTTCGTTTTCAATAAATGAAATTGCACTCTATTAAGAAAGATTTTTGCCAGTTTTTTGCAAGAAAAAAAGAAAGATGTTGAATCGAGCCACCGAAGTGGACTGACTGCACTGATGAAAATTACTAATTAATTAGTGTCCAATACGAAAACCTTTGAGCAAGTAACACTGATAGAATAAGAATTTATCGTAATGCAACCATCACAGTAACAAACCCTAAAAGAGAAAATAGTTATAGATTGTATCAAACTCAGTGAGTGGCTCATTGACTACAGCATGTCTGCTTCAGCTGGTCTTCGATGTCCACTTCAGTAATCCGTATGCACACATCAATGGTAATACCATAGATAAAACATACGTGTTGCTTAGTCTATGGTAATACCTATACGTTTTACAAACAGTAAAATTCTATGGGTATTCTAATCGGCCTACCCTAAGCTACATTTTATTTAATCTTCAGTTTATTTTATTTTTAGGGAAACCCGCATCTAATAACTGAGGTTTTTACGCTAGAGGATATGCCATCACACATAAATTTGCAAAACATTAAATTCAACTGTTGGTATGAGTAATTAGCACGAAATTTCCTCTAGATAATTTTCATAGTTGTAACTGAGCAGTTTATTTACCCTGCAAGCTGTGGTATTTAATGTTCCAGTGCCTAATTTACATTGGAGGTTGGAGTGAAGGTAGGCTGGGCGGACAGAAGGCAACATCATCCTCAGGCCAAGGTCAGGTTCGGCACTACCGAGGTTCTGGCTACTCAGACGTCGAGATATGTATCCCAATGTGGAATATGTATGCAAATGAGACTTTCTGAATGTTTGCCGGAAAATATTTATATATACATAAAACATTATTTCCTAATTTTTTTTAATGGGACTCATACAAGATTCTTTGAGACATCGCACCAACACGGGATGAGTAAGATAGTGGACAAAATATCAGTGTTGTGCAAACAATTTTAACACCCTACGGGATTTTTTGAATTGATGGTGTTTTTGGCCTCTGGGGACTTAAAAACGAAAAAAATCGGTCCCTATCTCAGGTCTTACCATGAGACCTACGATTACAGCGTAATCCTTATATTATGGGAAATTCGCTAAAATAAATAAAGAAAGGTTTAGAGATGTTACATTATTTCTTGACATATTTTTAGATTAAATTATCGAAACCGCATACAATCTAAAAGGAAAAAAGATATTTATTTAGTAAAGCCATTTCAAACTATAAAAATATTAATTCTTACTAGTGGTAAACTATTCAATTTTGTCAATAAACCTATTCAACACAAGGTCATACAATAATTTCAGGTCGTATTAAAGTAACTCCTAAGGACACATGAGAATATAATATTTATTAATCTAATCGGCTGGTGTTAATATTATTTGATACTACATTAAAAGTACCTATGACAGCCACTCAAACGTCAATGTCACTTGTATTCTTCAATAATATCAACCAATAAACTAATTATATCGAGGTATTGTTGCCATAGTGAAGTTTCTTTGTCACAGTTGCAGTACATTTCGCAACCATGTTCGTCTACAAACCTCTAGAATGGTGTTTGTTCTGTTGTGGGGTCCATCGTCGAAGCAAAATTGTTAGTTTCGTTGCCATTCTGATCATGATAGGGTATTTCTGCTCGGCGTTTTATGGTTTTAATGAATACAATACCACAAGTACTGCCTTAACCATAAACACAGCTTTGAACATCATAACAAATTGTATCTTCTCAACCATCCCTCAAGTTTTTATGATTTACAACTTGAGCTACTTTGGCCGTTGTGGAGAGATCTGGGAAGAGATAGAACGTCTATGGAACAGACTAAATCTACACGTTACAAGTACCTTCCGACAGCAAAAGATACTACTGATCGGCCTGATCACAGATCTGTTAGTTTTGACCGTCGTTATTTGGATGTTCAGTCACCCTAGCCTACTTATAGTAGTGTTCCAAAACTGTTATTTCCTGGCACCACAATTGTACCACATGGTTTTCTTGGTTACACTCCACAGAATTTTCTCAACTATCAATGGGAAGATTGTAGAACTAGGAGGGTCAGATTCTCAAACGATCGCATCACAGTTGGAAGACACATTTCACCTCTACGTCGATCTTCAGGAGGTAGTGCGGAAGGTCAACTCTTACTTCGGGTTGTATTTGTTCGCCATCCAGGTCAACAGAGCCATCTACCTTTGTTGTGCGGGATGTGAGTTACTTCTGTCCACTGAATCTGGTGGATTCGGGTTACTTCTCACCACCTATATTATGCTGGAGTTGACAACACAGACAAGTACATTGACAACAGAGTACATTGCGCCGCGAGTGAGGCTTGTTGTCAAGAAGCTCACAAGACAGTTGTCCTTGCCCATCAGCTGGTCACGTGTAACTCTCCTGATGTGATCATCGAGACAGTCAGTCTGTTCTCTCTATCGACGTTCAACGCCAGAGTCAGCTTCAGTGTTGGAGGAGTCTTCTCTATAGACATGTCTCTAGTTACCAAGACGCTCTCGCTTGCAATCAGCTACCTCATCGTAGTGCTACAGCTCATCGGCTACGATATGTACATTAAATAGACTCTGCTGAACAGTTTGGTAATGGCTAAGTACATGAGCAACGTCCACAAATAGTTTTACTATATCACTGACTACGATTTGCGACTAAAGTATGGAAGGTGTTAAAGTGTTTGGAATATTTAAAACCTGTGTGGGCAGGAGTATCGGTTTTCTTCTTTAAGGTGAAACTTCATATTGTCGTAGATTGTACATGAACGAGCTATGTTTTTTGTATGAGCTATTCATTGAGGATAGATGCTTTATTTTTCCGTTGAATAAAACAATAGGTTTGTCAAGAAAGGCAGTGGTTTACATACACATAAGGTTTATAAAACAAATGATTGTTTTATAGGTTGTTAAAGTACGTTTCTCTTGTGAAATGGAGAGGTAAAAACTGTGTGACGACACTATAACAGTTCGTAGGTTTAAATGTCTATTTTTTAATGGACGATATTCTGATGCAGGTTGTGTTACAGAGAAGTGTGGTCGGTTAGTAGTTAAATCATGAAATATTTTGGTTAATATGTTTTAGGTTGTGAATTAGATAAAAATAAATATTTTTTGGATGTAATCAAAATTTAAAAAAATGTAGCCTACTTTATTTGTTCAACATTTAGTTGTTTAACCTCCCAGATTTGGTTGGAATTGTTTTCACTCTAGCACTATTTGCATGACCATATATTAAAGGAGTAGACACACTGTAATCTATGGTGTGACGTAGAATAACTTTCCTACTGCATTTAAGGTATTATTGTATTGTATTCAATTTAAACTGAAACTGGCAATTCAAAACCACAAAAAAC